AGATAGCATGTGACCGACTGTACAAGAAGAAATTTTGCTCTATCACGGATATAGAAACGGAAAAACTAATGGACCAACTGTTAATGATGCCTCTATTTACCATTTCTAACTTTCCAACAATTGCTCGTTTATTGTAATGTTCAATATAACTACATTTTACTACTGGCTAAGCATCATTAACTGTAATATTAAGCCAGGTCTTGCTTCTTAGAGATCCTCACCTCGACTCATTATTCATATTTGTACTCCCAGTTGCCCTGGTAAGAGATCCTTGCTCTAAACAGGACGCCATTTCTTCTTTAGTAGTTATAGGAACTTCAGTTGCACCGGATAGTGTTATAACTCCGTTTGGTGATTCGCGAATCTGCACCGGTGACTTACTAAGAACAACCTTTCCAGGGGTTCCATTGGCTAGTCTGTTAAACGGCACACTATCCAGCAAATCCAGAACTTCTTCTTTTAAAATCTACATACAAATATTTCCAGTTAATATTCATAAAACTATAATCTAGACAATTAATCTAGCAACCAACGGATGATACCTCGATGAAAGAGACATGTAACTGGAACCCCATTTGGTGCTTTACTGAATCAATTCTATTGAACAAAGCACTCATAACTTGAGGAATCAACCCATTTCTTGTACCATCTTTAAAAGCAGTCCCCATAGTGTAAGTCTTCCCAGATCCTGTCTGCATCATTTACGTAACTCAAATAGAAGAAACACAACAACAACAAAAAAAGCAGCTAAAACCAATTTTAGAAACATTTTTTTCTGTACCTGACCATAAGCCAACACAGTAGCATTGTATCCATGAAACAAACCATCAACAAGAGGAGCAACACATTCTTCAAACATCAAAGATGATGGAGAACCATTACTTCCATATACATGATCAAATGTGAATGAATGTGTTCCCATTTGCACCTATGCACCATCAACAAAACAAACAACACTATTTTAATACATAAACAATGCTCAAATGCATTATATATATTATATATATGATGTAACAAAAAAACAAAATTGACACTGTTTTATAAGAAGAAATAAAATTAAATGAGTATCAGAGTTAGAACAGAGATTTTGATCCGGATCCAGGAATAGCGTGAACAACGACGAACGCATTTAAAAACCATCGGAGAAAAAAAAAACGTTAACGACGGAGAAGAGACGAAACTGACTCCGTTCACAATCGGAAAACTGACCTGAGGCGTTACCGGAGAAACAGAAACGCATTCCCTACAACCTTGAGTTACTTCATCTCCGATCAAAGGACGAACGTTAACCGCGACTTTCACGGAACAACTCTCCGACGAAGACGACGACGGTGACGAAGAATGTGATTCCATCGAAATTCTTCTCTTCTTCTACGTGTAAGAGTGTGAATAAGAGAATTCAGAAGAAGAAAAGTTGAATCAGAGTCTCAATTTCGTCTTCTTCCTCGGGAGAAGGAGAAGAAAAAGTGAAGAAGAAGCTTTACTCTCTTCACTGCTCTTTCTCTGGTTTGGGTATACGAGGTATCTTTATATTTCCATTTTTGCCCTCCACGAGACTCTAAATTTACCTTTTTTACCCTCCACGTCAGCTTCTTCTTCTTCTCCTTCGTCTATTGACTTCTTCTTATTTAATCCACTGGTCCGTGTGTATTGAAACTAAATCGGATTTATTTATTTATTATTCAGATCTGTCTACCACACTTTTATTCATATAAAAATGTTGTTGGAGAAAAAACTGTTTTTAGACGAGTTAAATTAATTATGGTGCGTGTAAATGAGACAACTGGGTGTGTAAAAGTCGATAATTCCAAAGTTTTGGTAGTTTCTATCGTCTCTTAAGTTAAAGACAAAAATTATTTAATTATGAAGAGTCAAGACATTCGTTTCTGGTCCTTCTTCTGCGCGGGAAAATCCCAACAGTAAAGTACACACAAAAAAAAAAAAAAAAAAAAAAAGGTTATATGAAATATTTTCCCAAAGTGCGGGGACCGCAGTACGCTCCGTTTGGGCCTTTATTGGGCCCTACCTCACATGTCTATCTGCAGGGCTCATTACTTGGTTTGTATCAGTTTGTTTATCCAATTTGAATGTATTTTCAGTGGTTTCTATTGGTTTTGAATTTTGACCATTGGGCGGAGAAGTCATGAAAATACGGGGAAAATAAAGGTGAATTTCATTAAACATATAAAAAACAAGATATTGTTATCGGCTTATCGCTAGTAGTAAAAATGTAAAATAATGAAATAGCATAGTATATATGTCGTGTATCAATATAATTATGTAATTGGTAAAAAGAACTGCATAATAATTCTGCAGATTATTGATATATTAGTTTTTCTATTATGATCATATGACAAATTTTTGCTTTTAGTTTTAATATTAAGTACCATTTCTGCTGAAACCATGCTTAATCATGATATAGCTTTGAAAAAAACATGGCTATCTTTTCAAGTTTTATCATCCCCGGCCCCTCCACCTTCCTAATTATAGGTGAATTTTTTTTTTCTGACAAACCTATTATAGGTGAATTATATTAGCCAAGAATATCCATTTTTTAAAATGTGGAAGTTCCTTGAGATTCAAGAAATAAAATTTGATGTCATGGGTTGTTGTTCTTCTAATCTGGTAAAAACAAATTTCGATATTTCTCTGTATTTTCAGTTATTATGTAGTACATCATTTGATGCTAAAAACAATTTGCACCATAAGTCTATATAGCTTCTAATGTTGGTTTTCGATAGATGATTTCCCAAGTTTCCTTTTTGTTTATCGAACGAAAATAAGAATGCTGATACGTCTAAAATGCATTCTCATGTGTGTACCTACTTTTTATAGTATTTATGTGTTGTTAGACTAATGCATATATAATGATTCTAACGCTAGCCCACAAGTTGATTATATATAGTTTTGTTTTCTATATGTGGACGACCCTAATGATTATGACTCTATGTTATCATATATATGCTTATCATATATATATAAAGCTCGTCTAACTGCCAATTTTGCTTTCTCTTAATTTGAAATCATTTCGAGTAGTCTTCGAAAACAATCGTGAAATTTTGAAAAAGCCCAACACAAAGACCCATTATAAACAAACAAAGATCCAAAACATTTTATCATATATCAATCAAGGGTGAAACATTAATTACCTCACATCTCAAAAAAAAAAATCATAGAATCAAGCAAATTAACAGGTCACCCATTCCAACTTTATCTATTCATATTACAGTCAAATTTTGAGAGTGCACCAAAACAGAGCATTTGAATCTTTTTTTGTACATAAATAAACGTTAACATTTAAGGTACTATATATATATATATATAAAAGTTAAATTATTCGGTCAGGTTTCTGATTTTATCTACATATATATCCACCGTTAAAATAAAAGACTGCAACAAAACAATGCATCAGAATCTTTTCTTGTACACATAAGTAAACAAACGTTAATAAAATAAATAGTACTACTACTATTGTTAACAAGACAAAAACACAACTATTGGTCAATACTTTTGTAATTAATTATTATAATCATAATGGAAATGAGCCGCCCTCGTGTATACTAATCCGAACGTAACACATGCCCTGGAATGGAACCCACAATCAAAAATTCAAATACCGAAACTACCCTTGGTCTTATCGTTGTATTGTAGAGAAGCTTCCAAAGATGGGCAAAAGGTTTACGTGAAAAGCAGAGGGACAAAATGGACAATATGGGAATACGTATCATCATTTACATAAACACGTAAAAGTCAATTAGTAACGGTATCCAGCCACCGACCATGAGTTTGACACTTTCTGGCCTCATTAATCTCCTTTTTTATATATAGACGTGTATACGTACGCATATATGTCATGTAATACGTCTATCGAATAAACATATTATACGTAAAATCGACCATTCGATGTTTTTTCTGTCAAATCTTAAACTTCGGATAGTGTAATCTTAAACTTAGTTTAAAAAAAAAAAAAGTTTTAGCCTTTTACTTTTTTAGGTATGTGTATGTCATGCAAATTTTTATTTTTTTTATCAACCATATATTAATTAAAAAATCACTTTATGATTGATAATTTAATATAAAGAAAAGTTTACAAATGAAATTTTAGAAAATAAATTTTTAGAGTAACGCGATAAACAATCTGCATTACCATTACAAGAGCAAGAAATACTAAAAAAAACGAGAAAGAATAAAAAGAATCACGAAGCAAACTAATCTCATCTAGTAGATTCGAAAAAGCGGACCACTTCTTCGGTGCCTGCATCATCAAAACTACTTCTATACTATTGGTTTTGAATATATATGATAATTAAAAAAATATATGATAATTAATTCTTTTTGAGATGATCATTTTCATAGCCTATAAAAAAGCGTCTATTTACGGATGAAAAGAAGAAGAATTCGTCCAATAATATTTTGATCCTAGTAGAATTATACGATTGTTTCCTTGAAAGCATCACCGTCCTAAACATATGATAGGACATAATATTTTCCACTAACCGTCAATCCATCATACACAATTAATTATATAATTTTTACTTTGTGGAAATGGTTATAAGTCGATGAACCAATTTGGTCTTATTATCTTCTTTAGAATTTGATTATATACTTCAAATATAAAACATAACTTTTATGATGTCATCGTGTAAACTCACAAACAAACAAAATCAAACGCTCAATAAGACGATGATTATTCCATCAAAGACATACGTGTTATCTTTTTTGACAAAAAAAAATAGACAGACGTTATCTATATATGTAACCATATAAATACCGGAAAATTGGATCCTAGTGATTTCAACGAATTAATATTCAATTATTGATCGTAAAAAAAAAAAAAAAAAAACGAGTATGGGATCTCCACTCGGTGACTTTTCTCGAGCTTACAAGCGTAATTTTCTCATTCTCTATATCTTTAAACTAGATTTAGTTTTATACTACTATAGTTTCATATTTATAATAACACAAACAAAATTTCAACTATAACTCGAAGTCGGCATGGACTTTTTGGAATTTTCTCCTCTACCTACAACTTCAACCTCTCTCTCTCTCTCTCTTTCTCTCTTCACATATATAAGAGAGTCCCTTGATCAAGAAATCAGATAATTTCCCTAATCCCACTTCTAAAGTCCTCCTCTTGGAAAGCTAAGAGACTCAACTCCCGAGCCGCCATGGACGCCGGAGTAGCAGTAAAAGTTGACGTGGTAGGTGCAAGAAAGAGAGAAAGACCATTCAAAGGGATAAGGATGAGGAAATGGGGGAAATGGGTGGCGGAGATTCGAGAACCCAACAAGCGTTCAAGACTTTGGCTCGGCTCTTACTCTACTCCCGAAGCGGCGGCCCGTGCATACGACACGGCGGTGTTTTACCTCAGAGGACCCACCGCTACGCTCAACTTCCCGGAGCTTTTGCCGTGTACGTCCACTGAGGACATGTCAGCGGCCACGATCAGGAAAAAGGCGACGGAGGTTGGAGCTCAGGTAGATGCGATAGGGACGACGGTGGTTCAGAACAACAAACGCCGCCGCGTTTTTAGTCAAAAGCGTGACTTTGGCGGCGGGTTATTGGAGCTTGTTGACTTGAACAAGTTACCCGACCCGGAAAATCTCGATGATGATTTGGTGGGAAAATAGACCGAAAAATAATAAAAACTAGATTTTATCCCGCGGTTTACCGCGGGATGATTTAATTTTAAAGTTAGTATAAAAATATTTTGTAAATTGTATCTCCTTATAACATATTTATTTATATTATAGTTTACAATTGTTATTAAGTAACGGTATACCACGAGTCCACGAGACAATTATTAATAAATTGAGGATTTAACTTGTGTTAAAGTGGTATATAAATATTGATTCAAATTCGTCCGCCATATAAATCCTTTCCGAAATATAACCCGTTCCGTAATTTCTTAACCGTCCCGTGATTTGTCTTTATTTTAAAATTTAATGATTATTTATTATATATAAAAGTTTACAAATCATATCATCCTCTAAGACCACGAGACATTATACCACGGGATTATTTTTGGTTTTATACAATCTTTTCTAAATGAGACTGATCTAATATGTCTAATATTTATGGTATTAAAAAAAAGATTTAATCCGTATTGAAGCGGCGGATTAATGATATTTTAATCTTTTTATTATTGTTGATTCAAAAACCCGTCCCGCCAAGCCCGTCTGGCCAAAACTCATTATTTTATTAATATTCTTATTTATGATATGATTCTGAATCATGTCTAAATATTTTTATCGATGTAGAACGTTGAACACACATTTTCGTCAATTGGATAATATATGTCCGTTTTTAAAATTTCGAATCACAATATATGCAGTTAAATTTCGAATCACACATGTATTATATGATGATTCAAAACAGTTAAAAACAAATCAAACAAAGATGATAGGAGAATCATGATTATAAATCTTAATCAAATCTTCTAAATATCTAAATTATTAAATATGGAATATCCGGTGTATGAGTTGGGTTAAATATAACCCGACCCAACAATTGTATTTGTGAAGGATTTTTTGAAACGGGTCGGATATCCAAATAACCCGAAAGCATTTGTACTCACCCGTCACCAAAGTGACTGCAAAAATACTAGTATAGATATTTACAATTACATTACAACGGTGGCTGTTGCTATCGTACGCGGTATGCTGGGTTTGTGTTATGACTTATGGGAAGATTCCTCTGTTTCGTCATTGTATTAACATCGAATCTCACAAGTCAAACACTGTACATTTTTCTTAATTTTTTTTTATCGGCCAAATACTCCATTATATAAGGAAAGTTTACATAGACATACATTCAACAGACCCAAGAAACTATATAAGGAGAGAGCTTTTGACGAGCCTATTTAGCAAGATTATCAGCCATTACATTGACTTCTCTACCCACAAATCTAAAGTTATAACAACCCTTAGCCAAAGCAAGTATATCCTCCAAGTAGTTTGTATCTCATGATTGTCTGGTTCATGATGATGATGCTGCACAGCCTGCTCAAGGTAGCGGTATAAAGTAAGAGAGTCGCCACAGAAAGTGACTTGCTGGTAGTTGAGCTTTTTTATCTGGAGAAATGCTTCTCGTAATGCCACAGCCTCCGTTTCCAGAGCTGAACTTGTAGGATCAATTGAAGAAGACCCATTAAGGATACATCGCCCTTGGGAAATATAAAGAGCCCAACCTATTCCAGCTTTGCTGTTGGAGCCAACCCAAGAACCATCTGTACATTTTTCTTAATTTAGTAACTAATTTTGATTTTCTTGTTAATATATATATATCTATCAATTGTTTGGTGAACACTGAACACCAGAATATTAGACTATTAGTGTAACGAGTGTCTAATATTTCGATCATAATTAATCACATCAAGCTAGTTAAATTTTATTTTTCTTTTTGGGCAAAAAAAAGCTAGTTAAAAGCTTAATATCTTATTACGAAGGCTTAAGTTAATTGTCATGATGGTCAATCCTCAATTCCTCATATATATGTAACTATGTAACGGAAGAGGTTCGGATCCCTATTCCCTAGCGAAGTGGATCAAAGGTGACTTAAAACTACTGGGCTAGTAGTAGTAGTAGACAGGGCATCATCAATGGGGGATCATGTGAGGGTGTTCTTATAGAGAATATAATGTTAAAATAATGTAAGATCATGTGTTTAGATCTTTTGTTTAGAAGTTGATTAGTGGGAGAACATGTGTAAGATCTTAAGACTTAATAATATAATAATCTAAATTAAATTAAGATTTTACAATTATTAAAACATTTAAAAATAACATATAAATTGCAAATGCCAAATTTATGAAAAACTGAAAATAAAAGTGAAAATACAATACTAAATATTTATGAAAAAAACATTAAAAATATAAATAACAATAAACAAACAAACATATTACTTAATAAAAGCACAAAAACATTTTATCTAATTAATACATAGTTTATTATCCAAATTTATTCCAAATATGTTGAATATTCCAACCAATGCCCAAATGCCACGTCACCCCGGAACACCCACAAGAACAGATCCAAGTCAAGAGCCCAGTTCCTGATCTTAAGCCCATTGACCTATTTTTTTGGATTTAAATAATGCTTAGATCAGGGGGGTGATCCCCCAATGCAGATGGTCTTACAATCTTATCATCATAAATAATTATTTATGAATAAAGAGTATAGTTTTAGTTCTCGTTTTTCCTTACCTAAATTTCTTTTACTTCTCTAGTTTCTCTCCATCGAACATGGCCGCAGTGCAATTTCTCGCTTAAGTCATTTGATTCTTCGTTTATCATTCTTCTCTCTGATTTCATCTTCAATTTCATGAGTTGTTTGGTTAGTCCTAATTTCTCGATTCAACTTGTTTGTCGTCAAGTGATTTGGTGTTTCGTGACTGTTTTTCCCTTAGTCTAGGTGGATGGAATTTTTAATAGAAATTATCTAAACCACCGCTTAACTAGCTCCATCGACTCTAAGGAAACTATCCGCACATACTTCTATTTATCACATTTGGAGCAAAGGAACAATGTTTTCCACAACAACCAACAGGTCCCTCCCTCGACTATCTTCGAAAACATCGATCGAGAGATCCGTAACACTATAACCGATAGAAGGCATAGAAAGAAATAGAAGAAGTTTATGCTTCTTTGGATCCGATAAGTTGGATTCTCTATCTCTTTTCAAAATGGATTGTAATCTTGTTTTTATTTTATTTTGCCAAGATTACTTTACATTTAGGTAATTGCTCTATAATATCCCACTTTCATTTTATATCTATATATACATTTTTAGATCACAATTAGCAAATAAATCCTGAAGTTGAGAAGTATTTACAATGGCATGCCATTAGCATTAATTATTTAAATTTGTTTTATTTAAGTAAAGATTTTTAAATGAAATTCATTTCTCATATATTTAGCAAAAGTCTCTACAAAATCTTTCCTTAAATAAAGATTTTGAAATCAAATAAGTTTTCAACAATTTACCAAAAATCTCTACACAATCTTTTTAAAAATCTCGACTTAGTTAACTTCTGATTTTTATCTGCAAAAAAAAAAAATTAATAGTAACGAATGATGTAAAAATCGGGAATGTTGATACTTGATACTACAATTTCTTCTACTTCTTTTTTTTCATATAATGAAAATTATTTTTTAGGGATATTTTCTCAAAACCTCTAAATACAACAAAGGGTTTCAAAAGATAGCTTCTCTTTTGGCGGGTCGACACGCAAACCCGCAACTCTCTACGGGCTTATCCGCATGAACTTGCGACCCGTAGTGGATAAAAATATTATTCAAAAAAAAATAACAAATGATGTTTAATTTTACGGAACGGGGTTATATGGTGTAACGGGTTTAGATCGATATTAATATTAAACAATATACTTTGGATGAAATCTTAGAATTAAAAATCAAAATTTAATTATAAAATCAGAAACACTAAACAAAATAAACAATATTAACAAAACAAATACAACTTAAAATTTTGCTAAATAATTTTTTAGTTATAAAAAATCGACCCGCGGTGTACCGCGGGATAAAATCTAGTGATATTTACAATTTAACAACAAAAAAACTACCGCTTAACATTTGTTTTAGTTTTTTTAGTTTGAATAATCTTGATCTAATATTTATAGGAGTTTAAGAAAGGGTGAAGTGTTGATTCGCACTAAGATCTCCTCACTGCAGCTCACAGCCCCGCAAAAGTATGCTTAAACTCTGCTTTTTTCTATTTTTTTTTATAAACACATTCGAAAGAGAGATGCATTTATTGTAACAAAGTTTTTGTTTGACTAAATTTTACATCCATTCAAAAAAAAGGGTGAAAGGAATTAAAGATGTTGATTTATTTAACGACTTTTCTACTATTTTTATTTTGTAAAACGAATCCAGTCTGTTTAGGTATATATCTCAGTTTTAAATAATCAAAAGTAAAATTTTAACATTTTTAATCGATCGAGTAGGTTAGAGTTTTTTCATTAATACCCATAAATAAAAATGATTATGACATGATCTTAAACAATTATTTTAGAAAATTACGTTTTTAAAAAATATTTGGTCTGTAGAAAATTGTTTTAACGAAAAAGCTTCTCAAATAAAGTCATAGTAATTTTAATTGTGAGTTTTTACTTTTTATACATATATTTTACTACAAACAAATCACTTATGGACATTTAGATGCTAAGTTTTTTTATTATGAAGATACATACAATATGTCGTAAAAGTGATAGATTGACAATTAGAGAAAGAATATTTAAATGCTTACGGGACATTGGATAGGATTTGCCTTCTGCTAGCTTTTTGGCATGTGGGCACTACTATTTTAGATTGGCCGTTTTTCCTTCACAACTTCACTCACACTAGAGACGAAAGATGGCAGGAGGGGTAGTTTTAGTCTCGTCGAGTATTGTTCGACCCGTAAGCAGCAGCCAATTGGATCGAACTAAGATCCATCTTACTCCATTTGATCTAAGTCTTCTTCAATTCGATTATCCTCAAAGAGGTCTTCTCTTCTCCAAACCCGACTCAGATTTCCATCTCATTTCTCGACTAAAGGCCTCTCTCGCTCTTGCCTTAGAGATTTACTTCCCTTTCGCGGGTACTCTCGTCAGAACAGAGAATCTTGAAGACGACACGGTGTCGTTTTTCATAGACTGCGATGGCTCTGGCGCTAGATTTCTCCACGCCGAAGCTAAATCTGTCTCCGTGAGTGATTTTCTCCATCCTGATGGTTCTGTTCCCGATTTCATGAAGTACTTCTTTCCCGCCGATGATTTCAAGAGCTGTGATGGTGTCTCGGTGCCCTTGCTTGTTATACAAGTTACCGAGATGAAGGACGGAGTCTTCATCAGTTTCTGTTACAACCATATGGTGGCAGACGGTGTTTCGATGTGGAGTTTCTTCCACACTTGGTCCAAGATTTGCTCAAGTGGTTCAGGTTTTAACCACAAGCCTCTTGTTCTCAAAGGATGGTTCCTCGAGGAGATCGATTACCCGATCCATATTCCGGTTTCGGAGACAGAGAGGTCACCACCAAACCGTGAACTTTCTTCGGTGCCCATTACGAAAGAATGGATTTTTCACTTCTCAAAGAAGAATATTAAAGATCTCAAAGCTAAAGCCAACAGCGAGATTGCCTCCAGTGACATGGAAGTTTCATCTCTTCAAGCGGTTTCAGCACATATGTGGCGATCAATCATCAGGCACAGTGGTGTGAGCCGAGAACGAGAGACACATTGCAAACTAGTGGTGGACTTGAGGCAGAGGGTAAAGCCTCCACTTGAGAAAGATTGTTTTGGGAATATGGTCTATCTTGCATCAGCCATAACCACCGCGGAAGAGCTCTTAGATCGCGGCTTGGGTGAGGCTGCTTTGCAAATAAGAAAATTAGTGAGCTCGCAAACGAATGATACTTGTAAAAGTTTTGCAGAGGATTGGGTTAGAAATGTTAAGAACCTAAAATCAGGTATTGGTAGTAAAGTAGGTGATACTATAGTTGTCGCAAGCTCTCCACGGTTCGAATTGTACAACAAAGATTTCGGTTGGGGCAAACCTATTGCAATTCGAGCTGGACCGTCCAATAGTATCAGTGGCAAACTTTCACTTTTTCAGGGAATCAATGAAGGAAGTATTGATATTCAAGCAACCCTATGGGATGATGTAATAGTGAAACTACTAGCCGATGTGGAATTTTTAGAGCATGTAACTATTGCATGATTGATTCAGTTGGAAAATAAAACTGATAACAGGGACATTGTCTTTGGTTTCTTCTAGTGTCTATCTCTTTTGTTTTTGAAATGCATTCTATCGATTTCCAAGCACAAATAACATCAACACATAAAGTGTATTATGCAGAAACAAAACAAAACTGTGTGATACGCAAGCTTTTGGAGAGAAACATCTTTGAGATCAGCGACCAAAAGAAAACACCTCATTCACTCGTTGGGCTCTTCAAAACCTAAATGGGCCATATCATGTCAAGTCTGGTCAGAGCACTTATTAGCTTGCCTTTCAATAATTGACATTTTTAAACACGTTTTTTATGTACAATACGCAAAAGGACAACAACAACAAATTATTGAAGGGTAAAATAATTTAAAATAAATGGAATCTTGTAAGACAAAAAAATCATTAAATTGTGGTGCTCAGTGATAGTGTCAAATTACATTAAGAGCATATCATGTCAATAATTGACATTTTTAAACACGTTTTTTATGTACAATACGCAAAAGGACAACAACAACAAATTATTGAAGGGTAAAATAATTTAAAATAAATGGAATCTTGTAAGACAAAAAAATCATTAAATTGTAGTGCTCAGTGATACTGAAAGATTCTCAAAGAAAAAAAAAAATCTTATTTTAAAGTTGTAATTTTTTTTATTAATTGAACTAATAGGATTATGACATGTAGCAATGACATCATAGAAGAATGTCTCACAATGTGAAATGAGAAACGTGTCTCCTTTATTTCCCTTCTCTCTCTTCCTTTTATTTTTTTTATTAACTAGTGTAAAATACGCAAAGGACAACAAAGATCGACGACAACAACAACAAGATATTATTGTAGGCTATATAAGTCGTACATTTATTTAAAATAAATCGAATCTTGTATGTTGTTGGTTGTTGTTACTTGTTACTAATTGAGAAGGTTAGAAAAACTTGACCTAATTGACAGATTTGAATCAAAAATGTAATATGCACATTCTGAAAAAGACAAAAAAAATATATGGTCTATGTTAATGATGGTACTCAGTGATATGGTGTCAAATTACATTAATATTCTACGTTTTCAACTTCCTTATCTTAATATAACAGTCTTGAGTTTGGCTTCAGATTACAGATCAAAAATGACAGACATAACTCTTATTTCCTCGAGCACTGTTCGACCTCAAATCATAAACCAACAAGGTCGTGAAAAGATCCATCTAACTCCATTTGATCTAAATTTTCTCTATGTTGATTATACTCAAAGAGGTCTTCTCTTCCCCAAACCCGACCCGGAAACCCATTTCATCTCTCGATTAAAAACCTCTCTTTCTTCTGCTCTAGATATCTACTTCCCCTTCGCTGGTCGTCTTAGCAAAGTTGAAAATCATGAAGATGATACGGTGTCGTTTTACATCAATTGCAACGGCTCTGGTGCTACATTCATCCATGCCGTAGCTGAATCAATCTCGGTAAGCGATCTTCTTCAACCTGATGGCTCTGTTCCTGATTTTTCCAGGATTTTCTATCCCATGAACGGTGTCAAGAGCATTGACGGCGTCTCCGAGCCCTTGCTTGGTTTACAAGTTACCGAGATGAGAGATGGAGTCTTCATCGGTTTTGGTTACAATCACATGGTCGCCGACGGTGCTTCGATCTGGAATTTCTTCAAAACCTGGTCAAAGATTTGCTCTAATGGTCAACCGGAGAATCTTCAGCCTCTTGCCCTCAAAGGATGGTTCGTGGACGGAATGGATTTCCCGATCCATATTCCGGTTTCCGAGACAGAGACGCCACCACCAAGCAATGAACTTTCTCCAACATTCAAAGAGAGAGTTTTTCACTTCACAAAGAAGAATATTTCAGATCTCAAAGCTAAAGTCAACAGCGAAATTGGCTCGAGTGACCATAAAGTCTCGTCCTTACAAGCGGTCTCGGCGCATATGTGGCGATCAATCATTAGACACAATGGTCTAAACCAAGAAGAAAAGACGCGTTGCTTTGTAGCAGTGGATCTAAGGCAGAGGCTAAACCCTCCGCTCGAGAAAGAGTGTTTTGGTCATGTGATCTATAACGCGATAGCTACAACCACAGTGGGGGAGTTGCAGGGTCAGGGTCTAGGGTGGGCTTTTTTGCAAATAAATAATATGTTGAGGTCGTTGACGAATGAAGACTATAGAATTTGGGCAGAGAATTGGGTTAGAAATATGAAGATACAAAAATCAGGTCTTGGAAGTAAAATGACTAGGGATTCTGTAATTGTGTCAAGCTCTCCTTGGTTTGAAGTGTACGATAACGATTTCGGTTGGGGTAAACCGATCGCGGTTCGAGCTGGACCGAGCAATAGTATTAGTGGCAAACTTGTGCTTTTTCGTGGGATTGAAGAAGGCTGTATTGATGTTCATGCGTTTCTATTGTCCGACGTACTTGTGAAACTACTAGCTGACGTGGAATTTCTTGAGAATGTGGCTAATGTATGAGTTAATTGGTTGAGATAATCAAACCGATTGCAGCTAGAGGTGGACCGGGGAAGAGTCGTATAAGTGGTAAACTCGTGCTTTTCCAAGGGATTGAAGAAGGAAGTAGTGATGTTCATGCAACCTTATGGTCTGATGTACTTGTCAAGTTATTGGCTGATGTTGAATTTATGGAGAATGTAACCGTTACATGATTGTTTGGTTGAGAAATAAAACATGTACTTGTTTGCTTCTAATTCGGTGTTTACTGTTTACAAAAATAAAACTATTTCGAAATTCTCTAGGCCTAGAAAAATATATTGGTTTTGGGGCTTTGCATATAATCTTATGGATTCTGGAAAATTTGTCTTAATTGTAATTTCCTTTACTTTCATTTTTTTTCCTTCCATTTTTGTTTTTTTCTTTTGTCATCCGAAACTAAATAAAAGCTCAAAAGAGTTATTTCTGAAGAATGCTGCTTACATAAGTGATATGATGCGGGGCTATACGAACTTTTCGTGGCAAATTAAAGATAAGGAGAAGGTGGAGAACTCTTCCTTGTCGCTCTGAAATTAAAAAATTTCCTTCCATTTTTGGTTATACCCTAATCGACAATATTTCATAGTGGGTTCAGAAAAATTAATTTATTTTCCAATTTAAAGGAAAGTTTTCCATTTCTTTTTGTTTCTTAACAAAAAAAAGAAGTCTCCTTTAATTTATGTGTTATAAAAGTAAAACTTCTTATTCTTTATATTTATACGTTTCCATTTATTTTTAAATTAACATTCCAATATTGACGGCTAAAACATATAGAATATTAATGGCTTGCTGTGATATCATTGATTTTCGACGCAAGGTTGTTTGAGAAAAAATTGATGTGTTAATTAGGAAATCATATAAGTAATTCCAATAAGGTTTGTTTATGTGATTGTCTTTTGACTTGAGCATGAATCATCTTGTTCGACGATCACAAATCGGTAGCTTGTTGAGGATTTTTCCTTGTAGGTTTTCCATATTCCGCTTCCCCAAAACAGTATCTTTGCCGGTTGAAGAGCTCAAGAATGAGGAAGATTTGCTCCGGAAGCAGGAGATCGAAAGAAGAAAAGAAAAATTACGGAAATATATACAGAACCGAACAAAACGTTCAGAACTAAAAAGCCTTTATGATCAGTGTGAGGTGGACGGTGAAAAGATGGAATCCGAAGGAGTACCGATTCACAAGATGTTAGCTTCTTACATATCAGAATTTGACGTAACGGGAATGGAAAAGTATTTGAACAAGTTAGAGGAGAAAAGACCAAAGGGATTTGCTTTAGCTATGCTGCGTAAGTCAGAGCCGTTACTGGTTACTAATGAGTATTACGACATCCTCGGACCAATTAGAGTCTTTGGGGCTCTCAGGATACTGTATAGGCGTTTCGGAGAAAAGGAAGACCTTCGGCGTTTGTGGAACTTAGCTAGGGACATGAAAGCGTTTAAGTTCATCAATGAATATATTTGCACGATTCTGGCGTTTTGGTTGAAAGACGATATCGAAGGGGCTCACCAAGTTCTTGAAGAGTGGGATACCGGAGAACATCGTTATTTTGAAGTCAAGATAAAAGATATTCTGGATTTTTCTCAGTGCAGAAAACTTGTGATACAAGGCACTGAGTTGATGGTGAATGGCATGTTCGAAGAACATAAGGAAGAGGAGGAGAATAAGAAGACGGCAATGGAGGTGAGGCTTAACGGATGGGACCCAAAGAAAAATCTTGCTTTGTCTGCGTACGCATGTGTTCAATATGTGGAGGGCCATAGAGACATTGAGAGTACAGTTGATGTTTTGAGATTGTTGGGGAAGCGTGAGTCACAAGATGCTATTATGGGTGAAGACCGATTGAGTAGGAAATTGGTGGAGGCAATGAGAGGAGGAGGATACGTTGGTGAAGTTTGAACAAGATTAATGATAATTATATATAGTGAAGATATATTCGCATTAACCAAGTACTATAAACAAATACCAAGACGAATTTCTATCAATTAGAGATATATTTTTTCTTTAACATATACACTGAGTATAATAGATTTTATAGTACTGTGAAGCTAAAAACCAAAGACGCAAAGACGCATTAAAGGCTTAAAGCAAAAGAACATTTTACCCACATAAAAGTGAACACAAACCTCAAACCAAACAAATCTTCTATACGAAGAATAATGCGACGATATATATATATATATATATATATATATATATGTATGTAAGTTTTTTTTTGGCAATTATGTTTACGTTTGCAACAACTACACACATGTTTGCAACAACTAGCGGTTGCGATAATTTAAAAATCAGCCCAACTCAACTCCTCCACATAATTTTATTTTAATACCATATAGTATTAGTATAAGGCTCATTGTTTTAGTAGAAAATGTTTGTTGTTTTTGGTAGAAAATTAAATGTTTGTATACAAGTTTGCAAATGTATGTCATATGACTCATACCTGTGGCTATTATTAGGTAATAAACATACAAGCTAATTGCTATAATTCAAATTTATAAAGAATGTGTCATACGACTCATATTATCGTTTGCATTTGATCTTTCATTTACGACTTTACGTATACAATTCAAATTTATAAAATATGTTTGATTTTAAAAAATAAAATATTAGATTTCGTTTAAACGAATACACATACTGAGTTTAAAACAATCGAACTCTTTTGCATGAATGATTTGCTAATCGGAAAATTTGATCATTTGTTTTAGGATAACATTAAATTGAAGATATTTTTAAATGATAATATTCCAGATAATGAAAAAAAAAAACAATCAAACTCTTAATTTTGTAAATAAATTAAATAGTGGTCACGAGACTCACGACCAAAATAAAAATATTAAGAAACAATAGTTCCAAAGTGGTGACGAATATCATTGTGTACGCTGGCATGCATGTGGTCAAGCTTTAAATACATATCATATATGGCTCCAATCATTTTGGTATTATAAAGTTTTTCAATAGACTCCATTTCGTGAGAAAACAAAATGGCAGATGTGAGTATGTGACTACAAATAGTATTTGGTGGCAAACCATCAAGTGTTTGGAATGATCCAAAATGAAAAAAAAAAAACAAGAAAAAAAAAAACAACCTACAATATAACAAACCTACTCGCATAAAGATGACTGATTTCAAACAACCCCCATTAACAATTTCAAGACGTCTTAACTAACCAGAAAAAAGTTATAACAACGTATCCTTGAAGATCTTAGATTTTGGTTGATTTCCTACCACTGTTGCTTTGGTGCTAAGTATAAAGCTTATCCATATTAATTTAGAAAAATATACTTCGAGATTTGGATAATTTTAACGTAATATGATAGTGCAACTAATTTTAGATCTCTTAATTACAAAAGGGAGACTCGATAATTGACATCTTAATTACGCACAAATGGATTCAAATGTGAAATACATTAAAGTTTATACGGTGTTGTATAATATCGTACATATAGGTAATTTTTTAGAGAATTCGATTTTGGTGACACTTACAGTTTCTATTAGTAATTAACAGCTGTCCTGTCCAAAGAAAAAAAAGAATCATTGTTCGGTACACGCGAGGTCAATCTTTCGTGTGGCTATCAATAATTTATTTGGTATTACAAAGTTTTTCAGTTTTCTTTTCTTGACAAAAAAATGGAAGATGTGACCGTGATTTCTAAGAGCATTGTTCAACCCGGAAAGATCGGTCACTCGGGTCAGACAAAGATCCATCTTACTCCATCTGATCTTAGCCTTCTATATCTCGATTACCCTCAAAGAGCTCTCATCTTCCCAAAACCCAACCCGGAAACCCGTTTCATCTCTCGGTTAAAGTCCTCTCTCTCTCTGCTGCTTTAGAGATCTACTTCCCTTTAGCTGGTCGTCTTGTCAAAGTGAACAACCATGAAGATAATACGATATCGCTTTACATCGACTGTGACGACGGCCGTGGTGCCAGTTTCGTCCATGCCATAGCAGAATCTATCTCGGTAAGCGATATCTTTCACCCTCATGGCTCTGTTCCTGACTTTTTCAAGCTTTTCTTCCCCGTGAACGGTGTTAGAAGCATCGACGGACTCTCGGAGCCCTTGCTTGCTGTACAAGTCACCGAGATAAAAGATGGAATCGTCATTAGTTACGGTTACAACCACTTGGTGGCCGATGGTTCTTCTATGTGGAAATTTATCCACGGTTGGTCAAAGATTTTCTTGAATGGTGAATGGGAGAATCATCATCAGCCTCTTGTCCTCAGAGGATGGTTCCTCGACAAGATCGATTTCCCGATCCATATTCCGGTTTCGGAGATAGAGACAGAGAGGGTGAAAAATCGTGAAACTTCGACGAAAGAGAGAGTTTTTCACTTCACAAAAGAGAAAATTTCATATCTTAAAGCTAAAGCTAACGGCGAAATAGACTCAAGTGACATAAATATATCATCCCTTCAAGCTGTTTTGGCACATCTATGGCGATCAATAGTTAGACACAGTGGTCTAAACCGAGAAGAAGAGAGTCATTGCGGTGTAGCAGCGGATTTCAGGCAGAGGCTAAACCCTCCACTTGATAAAGACTGTTTTGGCAATGTAGCCAATCTTGGGATGGCTACAGCCACCGTGGGAGATTTGGTCGATCGTGGACTGGGATGGGCTGCTTTGCAAATAAATAAAACTGTGAGGTCGCAAACGAATGAAAACTTTAGAACTTTTGCTGAGAATTGGGTTAGAAATGGTAAGATCCCAAGAATTGATGTTAGAAGTAAAAGGGGTGATCATGTTTTTATTGTCAATAACTCTCCTTGGTTCAAAGTTTATGATAATGATTTCGGTTTGGGTAAACCGATTGCCGTTCGAGCTGGACCGGCAAATGGTATTGGTGGCAAGCTTGTAGTTTTTCGAGGGATCGAAGAAGGAAGTATCGATGTTCATGCGATATTGACCTTCTCGTTATGGTCCGATGTGCTAGTGAACTTATTTGATGATGTTGAATCTACTATGGAGAATGTAACAATTACATGATGTGCTACTAAAGATATTGAACGATAAATGCTGGATCTATGGAGAATACTGTATATGTAACAATTACATGATATGCTAGTAAACATATTGAATGATGCTGAATTTCATACTTACCATTATATTCTTGCTTTCCCTATCTGACTTACAATACTCATCAATTGCGCACAAAATGCTTATTAGAATAGACTTGCACAGAAACTATAATCTAAGTCACGGATCATAAACCCATATTCATATATCTAAGTCTAATACACAATTAACTTTTGAAATAAAATGGGACACAGGTAAGATTACACAAAGATGAATCTAGCTTGTCTCGGCTTGAAAGCATTTTGTGACATTAAGTCCTTACTCACGGATGAAGATTTGATTCTCTAGAGTGTCAACTTCTTCTTATGGTAATTCATTTACAGCATTTTTTCTAATCATAGTTTCAATCTTAGAAAGAAAACAAATTATATAATTCAAATACATAAAGCTGACCAATATCATTGTGTTGGTCAAGCTTATAAAATATACAGCTTTGAGTTTTATTTCTTTCAGACAGTAGTCAACAATTCATTATGGTATTACAAAGTTTTTCATTAGTTTCCTTCTCGTGACAAAAAATTTTTTGGCAGTTGTGACCGTGATTTCTTCGAGCATTGTTCAACCTGGAAACATCACTCAATCGAGTCGAGGAAAGATCCATCTCCTTCTTTATCTCGGTTACCCTCAAAGAGGTCTCCTCTTCCCCAAACCAGACCCGGAAACCCGTTTCATCTCTCGGTTAAAATCCTCTCTCTCCGCTGCTCTAGACATCTACTTCCCCTTAGCTGTCGTCTTGTCAAAGTGAACAATCACGAAGAGAACACGGTGTCGTTTTACATCGACTGCAACGATGACGGCTTAGGTTCCAAATTCGTCCATGCCATAGCCGAATCGGTCTATGTGAGTGATCTTCTCCAACCTGATGGCTCTGTTTCTGACTCTTTCAAACATTTTTTCCCTGCGAACGATTTCAAGATAATCGAAGGCATCTCGAAGCCCTTGCTTGCTATTCAAGTCACCGAGATGAAAGATGGAGTCTTCATCAGTTTTGGACTACCAAGTAAACTGCTTGGGCCAAGCCAAATTTCCCACACAGATGTGTTTCTTGTTTCCAGCGTGGATCGAACTTAGGTTAGTTTCTTCAAACCTTTCCCCAATTCTCAACTACCATTATGTTCTTGACTTGCAGTACTCATCCTTTGCTTATTAGAATTAATAGAAATTCTTGACTTTTATGAGTTAAAGAGAGCAAGAACATATAAAAGGAGAGAGCTTGAATATGTACATAGACTTGCACGGAAAATGGAATCTCTAAGTCAGGGATCATAAAAATCATATTCATAATTCTAAGTCAAATACACAATCACCTTTGAAATAAAATGGGACAAACACGAACTTGTCTCGGCTTGAAGCCGTTTTGTGACAACAAGTCCATATTCAGAGATGAACATTTGATTCACTAGTGTCAACAAGTCCATATTCGGGTACCCGTTCGGGTTCGGTTCTTTTTTTTCGGGTATCGGGTCTATTCGGGTAGAGGGTCAAGACCCATTTGGGTATTCTAAAAATTCGGTTCGGGTTCGGTTCGGGTTCGGTTCGGGTTCGGGTCGGTTCGGGTATTTTAATAAAAAAAAAGAAAAATACCCGAAAATAACCAAAAATACCCGAAATATTTTCGGGTTCGGGTCGGATTCGGATTTTTAACTCATATATATCCAAATCTAACCGAAATACCCTATTTCTCGAAAATACATTGGTTACTCTGTACCCAAATATAACCAAAAATATCTAAAATACCTAATATATTCGGATTTATGATTGTAATTTTAGGTATTTCGGGTATTATAAATATAAATATAACTAATATTTTTAGGTGTATATTTGTATTCGGGTACATTCGGTTCGGGTTTTTTTCGGGTAGGAGGTTAGGACCCATTCGGGTATTTTTAAAAATCGGGTTCGGGTTCGGTTCGGGTATTGTTCGGGTTTTTTGGTTCGGGTATTCGGTTCCGGGTATTTTGTCCAAGCCTAATGTCAACTTCTTCTTTTGGGTCACATTCCATAAGATATTGTACTGTTGTAAGGTTTGATGACTAATGAGATAGTTATAAAGTTACAATCATCGAATGGCTGACTATAAAGTAAGCTCTTGAAACATAATGGGGTTTGATCCAAAAAAAAAAAAAACATGATGGGGCTTCTAAGACCCAATGGGCCTACCTTAAGGGATTCAAATGCTGTCGTATTGAGCAGAGTTTATGGTGCAAGAGAAGCATTTTTCTTTTCTTTTTGGGGTAAATAAAGAAGCTTGTTTTACTTGAACTTGAAACAAAGTATTCAAGTAAGCTGTCGTGTGGTGGTCACGATCCTCTGTCAACATTCTTAAGCGTAATCTCAAAACACCAATTTTGCTCTTTCCTGTCCTTTTGTAAAACACTTTTTAGTGGATGTATTATGATCCAATCTATATGTTAACGAGCTATTGATTCCTCAAAATTTGATAAAATAACAAAAGTAAGTCAAGGAAGACTACAATGAATTGTATTAACAAAAGTACACATAAAGAATACGAATAAGAATCGTAGAACTCGGGTCTAACTAGGTGTAAACAAAAAAAAACCTAGCCTTTGCCTTGAACTCTGTTTTTCCTCTGTTTTTATATCACTCCCGTTACCGGACCGTGACCCAACTCCCGCCGACAGACCAATCAGGGCTCGAACCACTAACCAAACTCCCAAGTCTCTCGACCGGAGAATCCAACGACGTGTGTGAATCCGATGTAAAAGATTCCCAATCATGAAACTCAAAAGGACACTTTGGAGACATCAATACTTTTTCCTCTTCTTTAAACTTCACAACGAAGTCTTCTCGATGATAATCTTCAAGATCAACGGCTACGAACGAATGGTTTAAAAGCATCTCAGCCGTCCATCTTTTCTCAGGATCTTTAACAAAACACTTCAACAAAAAATCTTTTCCTTCTTCCGACAACATCTCTGGAATCTTCGGTAACTCATCACCAACACCGATACGTATCAAAAGCGACATGAAGTGTGATCCTTCTTTCACACTCCACGCCGTTTTGCCACTAAACATCTCAACTACGGCACATCCTAACGCCCACACGTCAGCCGCTGATCCATACTCGTTCTCATTAACAGATTCCGGCGCCATGTATAACGGCGTCCCTCTAATCTCCACACTTTTTTTTGACGGCGTTAAATCTCCATCTACTCTCCTAGCCAACCCGAAATCGGCAATCTTAACGGCGCCGTCGTTGAATAACAGAATATTCCCGAGTTTTATATCGCAGTGAGCAAACCCTATTGCGTGGATGTGACGTAACCCTCGAAGCACCGATCCTGTGTGGCGGCGTACGGTGGACTCCGGTAAGCCCTCACCGCCAAGTTTCTTCACATGAGTCGCTAAGCTTCCTCTTGAAGCGTACTCTAACAACAAGTTATGCATCTTTTCTCCGTTCTCCACCGTTAGATCCTCACCGTAACATCGTACGATCTCAGGGCAATCACCGAGTGAATCCAACACCGATTTCTCCTTCGAGAGGGAAGCGGCGCCGTAAGAATCTGACGACTTCACGGCCATAATAGCCGGGAAGTCGCCGGAGTCTCTAGTATTTGTTGCTACACTTACAGTAGAAAAAGTTCCGAATCCGACTGTTTCTCCTCGAACCCACTCCATGAAATTGAAACAACAACTTTTACGAGAGATTATGAAGAACAATTTATCTGAGTGTAAGATTTATGAAGAAGGGTTTCGTTTTTATAGACTCGAAGAATGGTTTAGGGTAAAAAAAGTTTCCCTTTTTTTGGTTTTATTTAGCAAATTTAGAGAGAGGAAGATACAGAGCATGTAGCTCGTGACGGTTAATTGAGCCTAATGGCGCAACTTCTTCATTATATAATAAAGTTTTTATTATTTATTTATTTTCCAAAGTTTTGATTTTTTTGGGACAATTAATGCACGTGATGAGAGCCGATATTTGATATTTTCTTATTTGGGCTGCTAAAAACGAAATTAAATAACAAAATATTTATTAATTGGGCAAATCAAATATTATCGCACGACTTTGGTTTTAGTTACTACGAGATTTTACAGAATCTTGATATCTTTAGGTACTAATTACTAAAATATTTTTTATAATGTATTATAAGGTAATTATTTCTCACCTGAACATAGTTCATTAGTTTGATTTAATATCAATGTATATATATCACTATCAATATTTAGATTTGAAGAATAATGTTTGACAAAAAAACTAGTTTTTTTTTTTTTTCTAAATGGTGTCAATTAGGATTTGAAATCAAGGAATTTGATGGTCAATCTTTAATTGAAGCTTTGGCCTTAATTTAATTAACAGATCTACGACGATCAGTATAATTATATCAGAACATATTTAGAACTTCTTTCAAGGGCCGTTGATACTTTGATAAGATAAATTTATAAAAGCGCAAGTTGAAGTTTGTGTCTTAAAAAAGGTCGAGGTCTATGATGTTGTTTGGTGATTCCAAGAATCAAATTCTTCTCCAATTGGTAACATTACGATATATAAGAAAATACGGTTTTGTTAAAGACATAATTTGAACTTTTCTATAGCTTACATATAAAAAATTTAAACTAGCATATAATTTAGTTATGGATCAATGATGTAAAAAGATGATATAACTAAACTATGTAATTGTTTCTTGTATATATTTTTATGTAAAATCTGTTCAGATTAATGTCTTTTCGGGGATATCCATTAAAATAATAACTAAGAAGATTATTAAAAAAAAAGTTTAAACTAATAAATAAAAATAAATCGTTAAATAGAAGCTGCAATTTGCATGTTTATTTTCAAATACTGATATTGATAGACGAAAAAATGCTGAATACAATGAAGTTGTCACATGTGAATTGTACTATAGTTTGTATTTTATTGTTTTCTTACCAATTCCAATAGCAATTCAACAGATTTTGATGCTTCAACATATGACTTTATCCGACAACTCTTCCAATCATTATTCTTCTTGCTAATATTTTATTAGTCACGACTTTACGATACATTTTACTTT